AAATACATCTTACAATGACATAATTTTAAAACAATACATGGCTAACCAGCCCAAATGGTAATGGCATTGTCTTCTATAGCATTATATCATCCAAAGGTCGACACGTTTAGCTTGTTAGCTTCTTCAGGACCCAAAAATTGGAGGCGAAGAGATCAAATACCTTAGCTAAGAAAATATACATGTATGCAGACACGTAAAGGCTTAGAAAACAAATATTGTTTTCACATTTATTAAAAATCATCTATAATTTTTTTAACAAATCTGGAATTCACATAAGGTTAAGTGAACCACTACTGGCACTGCACAACAAGCAACCTAGATATCTTTTCTGATTAACAGTGCAAAAGGCCCAAAATTCTGCGCTACGTTGGAACTCATATATCTTTACTACTGGCCCATCACATTGGCAGCCTCAATGGCCAATAATGAGGTTAAGTGGCAGCATAGGGATGTACCAGTCTTTCAATGCAGGTGGTTGGGTTGATATTATTATTATTATTATTATTATACAGTGTTTATATAGCGCCAAAACGTTTGCTCAGCGCTGTACAATATAGTGGGGGACAGTACATGAGACAATACAGTAACAAAACAGTACACGAGGGGTTCGAGGGCCCTGCTCTTTCAAACTTACAATCTAGGAGGGAGGGGATAGTGGTACAGGAGGAAGTGGCTGTGGGGGATGGAGTGGTGGGAGGAGTGGAGGAGATCAGCTGTTAGGTGAGGGTGGGGTAGGCTTCCCTGAAGAGATGGGTTTTCAGGGTGCGCCTGAAGGTGAGGAGGGTAGGTGACAGTCTGATGGATTGGGGTAGTGAGTTCCAGAGGATGGGGGAAGTCCTGGAGAAGTCCTGCAGTCGGGCATGGGAGGAGGAGACCAGGGAGCTAAAAAGTAGGAGGTCTTGTGAGGAGCGAAGAGTATGGGTTGGGTGGTATTTGGGTATCAGGTCGGTAAGGTAGTTTGGGGCAGTGTTATGAATGGCTTTGTACGTCAATGTTAGTAGTTTGAATTTAATGCGTTGGGCAATCGGAAGCCAATGGAGGGAATGACAGAGGGGGCTGGCAGATGCGGAGCGGTTGGTAGGGTGGATGAGTCTGGCCGCTGAGTTTAGGATAGACTGAAGCGGGGATAGTCTGTGATGAGGTGGGCCGGTGAAGAGGGAGTTGCAGTAGTCGAGTCGTTATATAATAAGGGAGTGAATGAGTTGTTTAGTAGTGTCTGGGGAAAGGAACGTATGTATTTTGGAGATGTTGTGGAGGTGGAGCCTGCATGAGTTTGCCAGCGATTGGACATGGGGTTTGAAGGACTGATTTTAGTCTAGAGTGACACCTAGGACCTTGGCTTGCTGGGTGCTACTGATGGTGGCGTTGTTGGTCGTGATGGAGAGGGTGGGGGAGGGTTATGGGCTGGGGGGAAAATTAGGAGCTCGGTTTTGGAAAGGTTTAATTTGAGAAAGTGGAGTGACATCCAGTCTGATATGTCGTTCAGTAGGCAGGAGATTCGGGCGGAGACTGAAGGGGTGAGGTGAGGGGTAGAGAGGTAGATTTGCATGTCATCGGTGTAGAGGTAATAGTTGAAGCCGTGGGAGTGTATCAGTTGGCCAAGGGAGGAGGTGTAGATGGAGAAGAGGAGGGGCCTGAGGACAGAGACTTGGGGACTCCAACAGAGAGGGGGAGGGAGGGGGAGGTGGCAGCGCTATAGGTAACGCTGAAGGAGCGTTGGGATAGATAGGAGGCGAGCCAGGAGAGAGCAGAGTCTCTGATGCCAGGGGAGTATAGTTTATTAAGGAGGAGGGGGTGGTCAACTATGTCGAAGGCCGCGGAGAGGTCGAGGAGTAGGAGGACTGAGTTGTGGCCATTAGCTTTGGCAGTTAGCAGGTCATTAGTGATTTTGATATCTGTGTAACAGAGCAGATTGTGCACTAAAACTACCATAGAGAAAAGATGGCCTAATATGCTGGCATGCCAAGTGCCTGCCTGCAGTGTAGTGCCTACAGCAGTTCAGGTAGTTATATGTCACCTTGTCACCTCAGGATTCTTTAAAGTGAAGAGATATTCACTGTTTTTTCCATTAGTAACTCGTTCCATGGGCTACTTAGCAACTAAAATGATAATATTTTATTCTAATCCAGCCAATTTAAATCTATAAATACAAGATACATACATGTGTAAAATGCATTACAAATATGTATATCAAATTTGAATACATAACATAAAATATACAGGTACATAATATTAGGTATGCAGAATATTCCATAAGGCCACCAGCAGCATTAGGATGACTTTTTTAATCTTTGCCTGAATTTAGTTCTTTAATTAAATGACTCATTGTAGCTTTCAGTATGTTCCTTGGCATGGCAGATGAAAAACAATTGCTGCATATTTTAGAAGTTTCTCTTTCAAATGTATCTAGAGTTTTGGAATGTGATTCTAATCAGGGTCTGGCTAAATGTGATTATTAAACTTTACTAGCACATCAACAAGTCCTATGATCTCATTAAAACCCCAAACCCTCGGTAATCGAGATGAAGCACTGACATCCAGTGAAATATGATTATTGCAGTTATAATGTGATTCTGTTTAAGATTGCAGCATTTTAAACAAAACAGGGTGATTAGTTCTTAATTGCATCAGAAACAGTATGCAAGTTTATATACAATTTTTTTTTTTTTTTCAGAGAGGGACGCAATGTTTCCAAATTCTTCCAACGTGTCCCATTTCTAAGGCATTTTTATGACAAATAAAATAAATGACTGCATCGATTGGGCCTTTAGGCTTGGGGCAAGGAATGAAAAAAATATTTACAAAAGCTTGAAAATATTTAATCACTAGAAGCAGGGGGCAACAGTGTTTTAATTAGCTGGTCCTCGGGCCATTGGCTGGCTGTGGGCTTTCTCAAACAAGCACACAAAATGTTGCACCAAGAGGCTCTTTGCAAGCCTTAGGGTCAGGCTTGAGATGAAACAGATAAGATAATTGGTTCTAATGAAATCCAGAAGGTCTGGTCTTTCTTGTTTGAGCCTGGATTTGAAATGTGCATGTGGAAGTGAGGTTTAATTCAAACCAGCCCTAAACTAGGCCAGTTTCTTAGTGACTTTGATACTGTTTGAAGTTTGAAAAGTGTTTGCCACACCACTGGCATGCTGGGTAGGGCTTCCCCAGTCACCTTAATTACTAAGCTTTATTGCTGACTTTACTACACAGGAAAGGAACCATTATATGTTCCATCAACATCAACTCCTCTAAGACTAGAGGAAAGGGCCAGGTGAAAGGGCACAAAAGGAAGGCAAAGTCTCCAGTCTGAAACAGAAAGATCATTTACTAGTTTTACATTTCAACATTTAATATTTATGGGATAATTCTCTAACAAAATTCAAAAGTGAAAATACATTTATACTAATTATTCTGCATCTTCTTTAGTAAGTGTTAGAGCTATAAGTAAATACAATGGATAATTTAAAGTGTATTCAATTATTAATTAAATTATTTAATATATATTAATAATAATAATAATAATTAAACAAATTTACCTACAAAAGTTTTACTTTCATTAATAGCTAAAATTGTACAAATAGTATGCTTATTAAAAAAAAAATTATTGCCAAAAGTAGAATAAAAACACCACTTAAAGCCTGTAGAAGGCTGCCAGGGATTGCCAACCAATGCCATGCTAGTTCTAGTGTTATAAGGCAGCCTGAGTGAATCAAAATTTAGATGAGATAAGTAGAAATCAGCGCGGAAGGAAGCTTTAACAAGAAAAGACATTAAAGACTTTAAGGTCTGTAATGCATATTTCAGGTACTTATATAGCGCCGTCCATTTACACAGCACATTACATATACATTGTACATTCACTTCAGTCCCTGCCCTCAAGGAGCTTACAACTTAAGGTCCCTAACTCACATGCACATAATAGGACCAATTTGCCTACCAGTATGTCTTTGGAGTGTGGGAGGAAACCCACGCAGACACAGGGAAAACATGCAAACTTTGGGCAGGTACTGCCGTGCTTGAAATTCAAGCCAACAACCCTAGTGCTGCTAGGCAGAAGTGCTAACCACTTAGCCACTATGCTGCCTGTAATTTGAAATAATATTAATTAAGCATTTTAGGACTGCCCCATAGCAGGTATACTGATACAGGGTGACCCTCCTGGACAAAGTCACATGTATAAATGAGATTCTGCACTTCTGCCTAGGGGGTGCGCATGCGTGTCACCGACAGACCACTTAAGCTGTGACAATTCACAGACAATTCATCAGAAGCTGATCTGTGATTGTCAGGCAGTAGATGTCTGCCGGCACCCACAGATTGTGGGGCAGTGACACAGAACAGAGCTCTGCCTATGTAAACGAGGCTGAGCTCTGTTCTGACAGGGGGGGAAGTGACGAATCTTGTTTTCCTGCAAAGCATGGAATAAGATCCATCACTTACCTTAGTAAAAGCATCTAACACAGTACACAAACACATAGCTAGGTGCACAGTTAACCCTTTGGTTACTCTAGATATTTAACCCCTTCCCAGACTGTCATTAGTACAGCATCAGTGCATATTTTCAGCACTGATACCTGTATTAGTGTAACTGGTTCCTACAAAGTGTCAGCTAGTGTGAAAATGTCACAATAGCTCAGTCCTGCTATAAGTCTCTGATTGCCGCCATTACTAGTATAAAATAAATATTCCAGTATATATCTCATAGTTTGTAGATGATATAACTTTTGTGCAAATCAATCAATATATGCTTATTGGGATTTTAGTGAAAAACAGTCAGAAAAGATGAGTAGGGAAAAAAATGTCAGTGACCTCCACCTTTAAAACTATTCCTGTTTTGGGGGTCGTCTCATTGTTGCCCACCTGTTATTAATTTCATTAACACAAAGCAGCTGAAACTGATTAACAAGCTCCTCTGCTACTTACTGACCAGATCAATATCCCAGGAGTTTAACTGTCTTGATGCTATACTCTGATTTACAAAAACTGTAGCTGCTGACTTTTAAAAAACAGCCACTTACCTGTCCCTCGGTCCTGTGGTGTGTTCCCCGCAGCTCGTTTCACCGGCCGTCCTGTATTCCCGGAGGCCGGCATCTTCAGTGTGGGCTCCCGGCTGTGATAGCTTGCGGTTTCACAGCGGGGTACCCACTGCTCATTTACAAATAGCGCTGCGCTTCTTGAATGGTCCTGTAGTCTTCTGGGACCTGTCACGTGTCCCAAAAGACTACAGGGAGGGAGGGAGGACACCTTCTGCTTCCGATCGCCTATGCGATCAGACCGGACGTAGGAGTGGGTACCTGTCAAATCCGGGTACCCGCCCCCCCCCCCCACTCCCCAAAGGTGCCAATCCTTAATGGGGAGCGGAGGAGCAGTCCTTAATGCGGAACTTCCCCTTTTGGGTGGAGCTCCGCTTTAAGTCAAGGGAAGGAAGGCCTTTTTCTTAGCAGAGACATGTACCAGGAGAAATAAATAAACTGCCACTGCTGACTTGTTTGTGAAAATGCTAGTTGCCTGGAAGTCATGCTCATCCTATAGTTTAAATGTTTTTGTGTTACTATGCTGCAACAAACATACAATAAACTAATATAAAGATAAATTAGAACTTCTGATCTGCATATTTGTTCAGAAAAAGTGTCTCAGAATATATTGAAGCTGATGGATCAGCATGGTAACTAAGAACTAACAATAACTGTTCTATTCCATTCCATTAACTACGACACTATCTTACTTTACCTGACAATTGCGCAGTCATGTAACTCTGTAAATAAATTAAATGTACTTTTTTTTCCCCACAAATAGAGCTTTCTTTTGGGGGTATTTGATCACCACTGGTTTTTTTTTTTTTTTGCGCTATAAACAAAAAAAGACCAGCAATTTTGGAAACAAAAAAATATTTAAATGTTTTTTTTAAATCTAATGTCTTCATAAATATAGGCCAATATGTATTCTGCTACATATTTCTGGTAAAAAATCCCAATAAGCATATAGTGGAATTTTTTTGTTATACTAGTAATGGCGGCGATCAGCGACCTTTAGCAAGACTGCGATATTGCGGCGGACAGTCTGACACTCAATCTTTCCAATCTCGAGCATTTTGACCTGTTCGCATGAAATACCAGAGAACTGAACAAAGAGCATATTTGAGCAACACTAGTAAGGATTGGAACCCATTTTCTAACCTGTTCGTTTGACGTTGTTCATGTGTTTGCCTTACCCATAGACGTTAGCTGAAAATGGACAGATATGAAGCTGACAGCTTTTTGCCCAAGTAACCTTAAAAATTTATTAAATTGCAATTTAACACACATGTGTGTTAACTACCAGTGTTCAAATAAATGCATCATTTCAGAAAAATGTTTTGCATGGCTGCATTATTATCTATTGCTTAACTGATATCTTCAGTTCATTGACAAAAATAGCAACAAATAAGAGGTCAAATACACGTGAATGGCTTCTAAGTATTTAAGTGAAAGGTCAATCGTTCATGAGTAAGGGAATAAAAGTTAAAAAATGAAAAAGCAATAGAGAGAATAAAAGGAATGGTTCCTAAGCATTTAAGTGAAAGTTCTATTAATGATAAATCGGGGAATAAAAGTCAAAAGACGATAAAACAATTGACAGAATAAAAGGAAAACAGAAACACTAGAAAATAATCAGAGCATGACAAAATAACAGCAAAGTAAAATTTAGACTGTTGCCTAATTTGTTTTCTTTCATTATCTAACCAAAATGGGGAAAAAAACAGGTGCTGGCATTTCCTGTATGCTCTGGATAACACTTTAACTTTTCACTGTTTCATTTTTTTTACAGCCGGCTCTGGACCAGAGGACCTGAACCATCGAGACTGTGCCCAAAATATGCAATCAGAGGAAAAAAACACTTGTCACCAGTATTGCCTGTGGGCTACCTGCAGCTGATCATTTCCCCATTACTGACTTACCATTCCTTGTTCTGCACTGTGTCTCTGTGGATGTGGCCATCTTGGTGGAGGAGCAGAGCTTGGCATCCTCATAACATGATGACTGATGATCTGGTAACTGGTATATATTTAAAATAATTAAGCAATTGGAAATATTTAAAAAGCAACAGGAAAGGTGCAGATAACACAGATACACAGGATAAATGAAACCAAAAGCAGTGAGACCCTTGTACTGCAGCTTCTTTGCAGCAAGCAGAACAGTGAGAAACATAATAGTCTCATCACCAAATCTTGCTCCAGATCTTGTGAAACTAGTAGTCAGAGGCAGCATTACATGAGATGATCTCCCACTGTAGTTGTACAACTAGGAGGTTTAAGGAAATGTACCACTATTTTTCAAAATAAATTCAAGGCAAAAAGTAACATTTTTAGGAAACTGCTAAGGCACAATTTTAATTTATAAATGTTCCCTTATAGGCAAATGTTTGCTTTTTGAGTTTGGGGCCATTTCAATTCAGCACCCGTGAAACCTACAATGCAAAGGAATACAGTGTGATCTGTATAGGATACACTTTTCTTATTTACAGACATAGAAAAATCAGATAACCTGTGCCATCATTTCCAATGCTGTGAATTTTTGAGCAAGTTCAATGATTATTGTAAGATACCTGAATAACTGGCTGATTTATTATAATTATGTTCATGGACATTTCTCAGTCAGGGTCAATAGCACAACTATCAACCCATCCCACATGCCAGAGTGCTAGGGGTAACCCTGGATTCTGAACTTTATTTTCAGGCCCCTATCTAAAACCTGTCCAAATCATGCTGCCTCAACCTCTCCAACATCTCCAGAATACGCCCCTTTTTAACCAATCATACCACAAAGTTCCTAATTCACTCCCTGGTTATCTCTCACCTCAACTACTGCAACTCCCTCCTCATTGGCTTACCTTTACATAGGCTATCCCCCTCCAGTCCATCATGAATTCTGCTGCCAAGCTCATCCACCTTACCAAGCATTCAGTGAGTGTCTGCTACCCCTCTCTGCCAATCTCTCCTCTGGCTTCCACTCGCCCAATGAATAAAAGTCAAAATACTAACAACAACTTACAAAGCCATCCACAACTCTGCCCCCAGCTACATCACCAACCTGGTCTCAAAATATTAACCAAACCACTCTCTTCGATCCTCCCAAGACCTTCTGCTCTCTAGTTCCCATGTCATCTCCTCCCATGCTCACCTCCAGGACTTCTCCCGGGCTTCTCCCATCCTATGGAACTCCCTACCCCAATCTGTCTGACTATCTCCTAATCTATCCACCTTTAGACAATCCCTGAAAACCTTTCTCTTTAAAGAAGCCTATCCTTCTTCTAACTGCTAAACTGCCTTTTATTTCCTCCATCTGCTCATCCCCCACAGCTATTACCTTTTTGTATTACTCAACCCTTACTCTTAGATTGTAAGCTCTAATGAGCAGGGCCCTCTATTTCCTCTTGTACCAAATTGTATTGTAAATGTAATGTCTACCTTCATTTTATAAAGCACTGTGCAAACTGTTGTTGCTATATAATAAAACCTGTATAATAATAATAATAATAATAAACAGTATTGCAGTATTGCAGCTTTAGTTCTTTAGTTCAGGGTTCTTTAATAGAATATTTGAGCATGTTTTGGGGGGATGGGGAGTATGTGCGTGCAGTATGATATCCCATACATAACATTAATAATAAACTGCAGTGTTAAGCGAGAGGTTACTTGTTTATAATCTAATAATGGGCCAGAGAACTTAGGCTCCCAAAGAAAATAGTGCTTGTATTACACCAACACTGAACTCAGGGGACATGGAAAAATTGTTTCAGATCATGGTATGCATTACATTATTACCAATGCAACCTCTGACTCCTGCTTATTCATGTTTTTTTTTTTTTTTTTGCATTTGCCAAAGTGTTACTGCAATCCTTGAACTGAAGAATCTGATTCTTTATGGTGTGTACCAACTTACACACAGCATAGAAACTTAAAAATGTTAATGTAATTTTCATAGCAATTTTTAATACCTCTTTCATTAAAATAATACCTTGGGATCGCACCAAACATCTTGGGAATGTTTGAAGGCAAGGGGTAAGACATGGTGTAACATCACTAGACACTCTCTGGGAAGATACAAAGGCATGTTTCTCAACTAAACAGAAAGTATTTTCATATTTTGCAAAAATGATTCGAAAGCATGCCAGACAGAGTGCAGATTTTGAAAAAAACATACGTTTAGTTCTTTTGACTACATTTAGACTTCTGAATCCAAATGCAAAAACATATTTAATATCACATTTATAATGGACAAATATGCATAAGAAAAGGTATACTATTTTGTAAGTTCTCATGTATTACATTATAATCAATTAATTTATTGCAGTTTTTTCCAACGTGAGTAATCTGTTGAGGCAATCCTGCGCCATACATGACTTATGTAATGGAAAACAGCTCTCCAGGGAAAATAATGAAAGGGTGATTGATTGAAATTACTGAAAAAGGTTCAATAACTAAAACCAAGGGGAAAATACCCATAAGGATTGCATGTCTTCCTGAATAATATGTGTATTTTATTAACTTATATAGTATGAATTATATGTTGGCATGTCAAATTGTTTCCTCTGGGACCAGCCACATATTTTAACATAAGTGGCCTTATTTAATTTAAGAAATAATTGGACATGAATGTAAATATCCTATCCAACGTTCTATATGACATTTTTGTGCATGCAATGATTATCATATAGAAGGATCTCTTTTATTTCACCTAAATGTTGAAAAAAAAAAGCACTAGCTTGATTTTAAAGTGGAACATTACTCATAACAACTTGATTAAAAAAATGTTCTTTAGCAAGGAACATACATTCCACATTAATAATCATGCTACCAAATTTAGTGTATGCTGTAAATTGCCTCCAGTATTGTTCCTGTTTCTTCTTGCTGGAGGCTGCCATTTTGCTGAAGCTCAGAGCCCCTGAGCAGCAGTGAATATTTAGGCTTATCCTGCTTTGGGATATTACATGAGGTATTGATGTTTACCATAAAGGGTGCTGCCAGGGCATAGTTATTTCTCTGGATTGGCCTTTGTCATTAAAATCGGTAAAAATAATAAAGTTTCACAGCAAAAAATCAAACCTGTCTGTAACACCTAACTAGCTCTATTCACTATTAAATCTCATCTTCTCCTTAGAGTTTGTATAGCCTAAACTTTGTTGTTGTTTTGAATAGAGTAGGGGAGTTTAAAACGTAGGCAGCAGGTTCTTGAGAAAGTGAGCTCTTATATCCTCGAAACGTTGGGTTCTACCTATGCTGTATTTTACTTGATGTGATATAACATACTTCAAATATTGTACATATTGTATAATTGTATGTTTGTTTTTTTTTTACCAAGAAATTGAACAGGTGTACGTAATAAAGTGGCCGGTGAGTGTATATATGATAGGTAAATTATTTTCCCAGTGA